GTCTGATTTGAATTATTTGTTTTTGTGATGTCACAAGAACCAACTAATTTACATATATCCACCCTTTCAGCATGAAGCAGTTTAACGCCGCCCATTCACACTGAAGTTATAAAGAGCGTTTCAGTGCGTTTCCAATGAGGCACAGCCAATAAGAGCAGAGCTGATTTACATATATCAGTCTTAAAGGCTCAGTAATAACAGTAGCCTGTGTAATTGTCAGAGAGAGGTTAGAAAATAAAGTACGAGTTTTTTCAAAACAGAATCCCCCCACATATGTTATTAGTGGACCTGAAAATAAAATGCAAGAAAAATGTAGGATATGGAGGTTGAAATGTATACGCGCATGCTTTGCATGCACAGCTTCTTTGTTTGAGGCAGATGAATGTGTGCTATATAAAGATGTCTCAACTAGCTGTCAGCAGTGCCCCGTCTGAAGGAACAGGTGCAGTGCAGACATGTTGTGGCTGGTATGAAATTAAAACCCATTTCTGAAAGCCTCCACAGAAATGCTCCACTCTGCATGCCATGGCCTGTGAGCTGCTCATTCATGTGTTGTTTTCATTCATGCTCCACTGTGGATTACAGATTACAACACTGCAAAGAAAAGCAGACTGTCCGGGCTTCTATGTGGCAAATCCGCAGAGCTAGTTTTACTCGGACCCCCAGATTAAGCTTAATCCTGTACTAAACTTTCAGTGGAAAATAACTGTTCAAAGGGTTTTCGGTCCAGGATGAGGCTTAATCTGGGTCTGAGAAATTGGCTTCATCAAATCCAGATTAACTATAATCGTGCTATTTTCAGCTTCATTTTCTTTCTGTCTGCATTAGGTCTGATGTGTATAATACGTTGGGCTATATTATGCACATATTTTAAGCGAAGATCAATATATAATTATAGGCTTTATGTGCTTGAGAGGATGAAAAAACTGAGTGAATGACAGTGCGTGGGCTTTTTTGCTGTAGCTTCTGTTCCATGGTAAGAATGAACCCCCTTGAGATGTTAATCCTCATAAATTCATTGCAGATCTTCCCTTTGTCTCCTGATTTAAGCTACTGACCTTGAAGAGCCTGACTATGAGCATGACTTTCTATCCTCCAGACACTAGAATTCCAGAACAGGTAGCGTGTTTTCTCAGAGAAGCTTTTGAAATGGAGGAGTTTTGGGGTTTACTGGTTTAGCTACATCCACGTGTTTACACATCAGGAGCATCTTCTGGGCTCAGGTCCAAAGCATGCCCTTGAAGATGGAGCTCAGGGAGCTCACGGCAGTTTCATTGTCAGTAAAAAGACAGGTCAGGAGCAGCCATGTGGAAACTGGGACTGGGCAGTGGCTGGTACCTCACGATGCAGTAGTGGCACTGCCATAGTATGTGGTATTTTGCAGCACGAGGAGTGAGAAGGTTGGCTTGGATGTACAGTTCTTGAAAAAAATGTTGACATAAAACCTCTACATTACATGGAGGTTCTTTATACTTTAAAACAAGTAACAAAGGTTCTTCAGGTAGCCAAAAGTGCTTAATTAATTGTGTGTACATTTGTTTTCTATTTTAGTGTGTGTCACAGGGGTAAATCAAGGAGAAAGTATCATAGAAGCCAAAATGGATAGAAATGGTACACAGGTATAGTTCAGAATTGGTGGAATAGTGGGTATGCACACTACTTTCTAGTTAGTAGTAGTTACCAGTAACTTTAATTGCTAAATGGTAATTACCAAATTCATGATATCATGTGATAAATGTTGACTATTGGCAGTTTAATGTAGCTTACAGTAATATATAGCTAGCTCAATCATTCTCTGGGGCTAAGATGTTTGTGATTTGTTTCTAATCAAATTATGAAGCTAGTCTTACATGCAAATCTGGCCACAAAACCATTTCATAAAAAAAAAGTTTTTTCTCAAAGTGTCAAGACGTAGTTAAGGCACGTTACTTAGGTGAAAGAGGTTCAGCTGACTCAAAATGTTGGGTATCCAACAACACTGGCATTCAGTGAAGGCCAGTATTGATACTGGAGGCCAGTATTGATAAAAAAAGGTCCAATGTATAAGGTATAAATGTAGTAGAAATTCTGGTGGACAGGTATAAATGTAGTAGAAATTCTGTGGTATTGGATCCAAGGAGATAAGAGTAACTTTATTAATTACTAGATAAGTTACAAACCCAATTCCAAAAACGTTGGGAAATATTTCAGCTAATTAACTTTAGTGTTTTTGTATGTATGTTTTTATATATATATATATATATAATATATATATATATATATATATATATATGCTTATTCTACATTTGATGTCTACCACATCTTCCAAAAAAGTTGGAATAGGAGCGTGTTTACCATCGTGTCACGCCACCTTTCCTTTTAATAATGTTCAATAATTGCTTGGGAGCTGAGAACACCAATTTTAGTTGTGAAAGTGGAATTTTTTTCTTTTCTTGCCTAATACAACACTTCAGCTGCTCAACAGGCCGCAGTCTCCTGCCTTCTTTTAGTACAAAGCCACGAGTACGAGTGTTTTGTGACAAAGATCCCAGTCTTTTACATTGCCTCATCCCAACTTTTTTGAAATGTGTTGCAGGGTGTTTTCAATTAAATACCAGTAAAAGACTGTAAAATCACTGCTATTTGTTTTTTTTCTGTCTGAACTTTTTTGGGGGTTGGGTTTGTACACAGCTAATGTCTAATAGCTACAGAAACAAATACATTACAAGCATTTGTATTTTGCTCTTCACAAAAAAGCAAAATGTGTCTCAATCTTGATATTAATCAAATCAAAAATACTGAAATAAAATGTCTTATGACTCTTCACTGCAGCGCTCTTGGAGAACAGTGAGTGTCCTCTTACTGGTTACTCAGCAACTCAGGATTCTGTGCGAGCTTCTTCGTTTAGCCTCAGGGATGGTCATTTTATAAAACTGATCTGTTAGCCATCCACAGGCCTAGTATAGTAAAACCGCTAATGACGTGTTCAGTCGAATGGAGAACTTCAGCTTCTTCAGACCACCTTGACCCCATCTATCTTAATCACGAATGACTGGGCACGAAATCTGCCATCTGAACGTCTGGATGTCGAAATGTACTTAGTGGTCTAAACTTACGCCTCGGCTTTGATAGATTGACGTACAGCAGCAGTTGCAGCATGTACCCCAATTTCCACCATGTGGGCTTTCTGATGCTTCCAGTAATGCTAACGCTAATCCCCCGGTGACCTCATAGTGTAAGAAGTGATCTGGCTGGAGTGGTAAAGTAAGAGGACGCTAAGCTGCTGTGATACGGGGCCATCTGTGGTCAGCAGCCAGCTGGGGCAAGATCTGAGGTGTCGCTGGGCAGGTTAGGTCGTGGACGCTAGTTGGGATGCACTGCCATCTGTCATGGTCATACTGCAGTTATGAATACAAATTCATATGCAGCCAGATGAATCAGGGATGAAGGATACCTTTGAATTGTCTTGTAGGAGGAGGACAGACTTTTTATGCCACCTGTATCAGGTTTTGTTATATCTCAAGTATCCATGCTTAGATCTTGCACAAAAAGCTTCTTTCTCAAGAAAGCAGTCTCGTAATAACGGATTCACCAGCACTGGTGAAGGACATCTTTACTGCAGCATTGTTCCAAGACTGTGCTGCTAAAAGATGCTTTATAGGCTACATTTATAGAGTATTTCACAAAGCAAGATTTCTCAGTTAGCAGGTAAGTTAAAAGAGCATTCCAGCCTAAAACTAGCAATTACTTAAATGTCATCTTATGTTGTTTTCTGTAGTCCAGTGTTTTGTTCCTCAGCTTAAAGAGTTTGACAGAATTCTTGATTTTATATGGTCAAACAACAATTGGGAATCCCTGTCGTGCCACCCAGTCCTGACTGCTAGCTTAGCCACTGATCTATATGCTAATACAAACAAGCTAGCTTTAACTCTTACCTCAGTTTTTAAAAAAAATCTTTATTTGGCACAAAATGGAAGGCAGAGACAAGTCTTTAACCATTTCAGCCAGGAAAAAGAAACAAAATGAGGTAAAATATCCACACAGCTAGTTAGCTAGCTAACTTGCTCACTTCAGATTTTGGCTTGTTGTTCTCCTCATCTAACAAGTCATTTCTGTCGTTTGAGTACTCTATTCTCTCTTTTCTAAAGGTGATTTGATAAGTTACCACAGTTATATATTAGCATTAAGATATGTGCTTCCTACTAATAACATTAGCTGTCTTGCTTCCTTCTGCGTTCACCAACGAAAAACAAAAACGTAGCAAATTAGCCTGCTCCCACAAATCCACCCCAAATTCATACCACCTTCAATATACAACCAGAGAACTTGTAGAAAGGAGAATTACCACTCTGTCTTCCGGGTTTCTCAAACGCTAGAGGGCGCTCCCGAGTGAGTCCAAAATGAATGGGTTGATATGGAGCAAAATCATAGTTTATAAATGCTGAAACATTTTATAATGTAAAAGAATACAATCATTTCCTGAGCACAGAACAGCATAAAACACTTTAACACTGCTTTTATGTTTTTAAGAGCTTTTAAACTCGAGCTATAAGAGTTTAAAACGGCGCCTCATGTATATTCATGGCGTCAGTGAGCACGAACAGCCAATGAGCTGCTCCGCTCGCCTATCAATCAGCACACACTAACAGTAATGCCTGCCTCCTGCTGCCCAAAACCCATTTGCTGTAGAAAAAAGGAAAAATATGGGTAAGATTTCTTTGTTTTTTAGTGAAATACATCCTTCTACTTTCTAAAACTAAGAAACGTTCTGGGCGAGTGATTAGAAACTACTGTAACTTCGTTTTTAGCCGTTGAGCGACATTTACTCCCATTCATTGAGGACTCACTCACAAGTGAATGCAAACCGTTGCATCGTAATGCAAAACATTTGCGAGGGACCGCAGTGTCATTAACTTCTTTTTTAACCACAGCCCCTTAGGTTTAAGTCCCACCTCTGCCAGTTTTTTTTTTTTATTCAGTTCATCAAACCAACCTCAGACATTTCTCTTTTTTCTCCTCAGGCTCTTCCCTTCTACTCCTCGTATCTGCTGATGTTGTGAGTGCCGGTCCAACACCTCTGTCCAGCTCCCCCGGTTTGTCCCGGCCCCTGCTGGACGTTCCTCTTGGTCTCGAGGAACATGAGGGCGCCCAGCTGGGTCTCATGGAAAACTCCCAGGAGAGTTCTGGGTTTTTCAGTGAGGACAGCGAAGATAATAAGGTTCCCCGGGCAGCACGGCAGTGGGGTGTCCAGGGGGAGGTCAACACCAGTCTGGATGCAGATTCCTTGATAGGTGTGCACTGTTTTTCACTAGATGAACTGATCATTTTTAGAAAGGAATAGTTTTGTCAAAGAGCCCATGTTGAAAGCAAACAGCTCTCAGTTAGCATTATGCATGTGACGTCATACTGATTGGTAGCTATAAGCTTCGATTCACTGGCCGTATTAGTATGTTTGGTCTATTTCCAAAGCTATTCCTTTAAAATTAGTGAGTGTGATTGATGAGGCCCAAATTCACACATTAAACTGCAGATTTATTCAGTTATTAATCGTAAGAGTAATTATTCAGTATATTTTTTGGTAACTGCTATGAAACTAATGTGTAAGCTTTGTAGTTATGAGAGTGGAGGGTGTGGGTGCATACATGTATCTTAGCAGTTTCGGTTAAGTTAAGGCATATAATCTTTATACTTTATACTTACGCACCGTATATACTAGTACGTACATGTACAAATATTCGTCCTGTAATTAGAGTACAATTTTGTAAACATTATGAAACTCTGGACACATTGCTCCATGAGTATCTTTAATGTAATTATTCTTTTTCAGATATATACAGTAGGGCTGTCATGATTACTTACCTAATTTGTTTTTGTCTAACTGTCTGCAGGCCAATTTGCATGATGATAATACATATTTTAACTCTCCTACTGGGCTTTCTTGTGTCTTTTAAAAGGCTTTATTGTGTGTCTTCTTTCAATATAATATTCTGGAATCTTTCAAAGGCCATTATTAGTGTGTTATTGTTGAGTTAAGTCCATTTTTGAAGAAAAAAAAACCCTGATTACTCAATTAATTGTCAAAATGATCCGCATATTAATTGATCACTAATATAATCGACAGAGACGGCCCCGATGTACAGTATAAAATCATGAAGAAAGCCCGCCAAGCAGCTCTTTAACTAAAGCGCTCGTGTTGCGTCTTAATGAGTTTGGTTCATTCAGTGAGATGGAACTGCTGCCCGCGGTCAGGAATCCATAAGGTCAGGACTGGAAAAGAGGGTCACATCCAGGACAGCTTTCGCCCAAAAACAACAAACCCTAATGTGATTGTTGGGAGTCTCTAGAACATTCTCATCTGTTTGTGCTGTTCTAGACTGTTCTCCCTCATTCATGCTATTTTAGAATGTCCTCCCCATTCATGCAGTTTTCCCTTTTCACACTGTTCTAGAATGTTCTTCCCATTCACACTGTTCCGGAATATTCTTCCTAGTCAGAATGTTCTAGAACATTCTTCCTGTTAATGTGGTTCTAGACAGTTCATCCTCTTCAAAGTTCTCTAACATATTTTCCCCATTAGCACTGTTTTAGAATGTTCTCCCCCATTCATACAGTTTTCCCTTTTTACACTGTTCTAGAATGTTTTCCTCATTCACAACTCCACAATTTTCTTGCTCCACAATGTTCTCCCGAGTCATGCTGTTCTAGAATGTTCTCCCCCTTCACACTGCTCCATAATGTTTTCTCACTCACACTGTTCTAGAATGTTCTTCCTATCCACACTGTTCTAGAATATTCTTCCCAGTCACAATGTTGTAGAACATTTTTCCTGTTCATGTGGTTTTAGACAGTTCTCCCTTTTCACACTTCTCTAATATATTTTCCCCATTAGCACCGTTTTAGAATGTTCTTCCTTTTCACACTGTTGTAGAATGTTCTCCCCAGTTCCACTGTTCTAAAATATTCTCCCATACTCACACCATTCTAGAATGTTTTCCCCTAATCAGACTGTTCTAGAATGCTCTTCCTTATTCTCACTTTTTTAGAATGTTCTCTTCCCATTCACACTGTACAAGAATGTTCTCCGCCTTTACAGTTCTCTAATACATTCTTCGTCCCCTTAACACAGTTCTAGACTATTCTCCCTCATTCCAGTTCTCTAACATATTTCCCATATTTAAACTGTTTTAGAACGTTCTCCCTATTCAAACTGTTTTAGAACGTTCTCCCTATTCAAACTGTTTTAGAATGTTCTTCCTTTCCACACTGTTGTAGAATGTTCTCCCCAGTTCCACTGTTCTAAAATGTTCTCCCATACTCACACTATTCTAGAATGTTTTCCCCTAATCAGACTGCTCTAGAATGCTCTTCCTTATTCTCACATTTCTATAATGTTCTCTTCCCTTTCACACTGTTCTAGAATGTTCTCTGCCTTTACAGTTCTCTAACATATTCTTCTCAATCACACTGCTATAGAATGTTCTCCTTATTCACACCATTCTAGAATATTCTCCCATCTACACTGTTCTCGCATCTTCTCCTATATTCACACTGTTCAAGAATGTTCTCCACTAATCAGACTGTTCTAGAATGTCCTTCCGTCTATTCTCACTGTTTAGGAATGTTCTCCTAATGTCAGTAAGGTAGATTTTTACAGAAACTGAGGTTAAACAAGAGTTTTGTCGGGTTTCTGTTAATCAACCTCACAGCAGTTTGTATGAAAGACACGTGTGGGGCGGAGCACGGAGAGAACCTTTTCTGTTAATCCTCATATCTTCCAGGTTTTGAAGTCCACTCTCATCTGAGTCCTGCTGGCTCAAGTGTTTCCAGAACATTCACTGGAACTGAGCTGTAGAAGTGGGTCGTTCTGAAGCATGACTCATCAGTATTTAGCAAAAGTGGTCTCAAAACTGTCATTTAGCTGACAAAGATCTACATTAGGCTTGACAGGCCCCACCCCAGAATGTTGCGCGAATGTCAAAACAGCAATTAGGTGCATGAAAAGGCGCAATAAAATGCCTTTTTGCGCTTACTAATGACTGCTGGCCTTCATCATGTTTGGCTTTCCAGGGTGACGATAACTTATTTTGTTGTCACTTTGTTTTCTGAGGCACATTTTTCCTCTTTGACAGCTGAAACAAAATGTCTGTTCGCTCTCATGTTTGTGTTGCAGTCGCGGCCCTGCTGCGCGAGAGTGAGGAAGAGAGACCGAACGAGGCTGTGTTCGCAAGGCTACCGGAGACGAGTGGGAATTAAATGTCCCCTAGAATGAAAACGGCTTATTTTTAGGCGAGCTCCTTGTCCGGTGAAGTTGTTTTTCACTGCAGCGCTCTGTTTATTGCCTGTGCAAACTTGGTCTGTAGGATTATGAGAGAGTGTGTGTACGAATGAAGGAAGTGGAAAGGGGGTAGAACAGTACTGTCCACCAGATTTTCCATGAGGGGTGGCGAATTGGGATTCTATGCAGTCTCTATCTTCTGGAGTCAGCTTGCAGATTTAGGCACGGCACGTAGTCTAATCTCCTCGGTGGAGGGAGCTTCGTGATGCCAGTTGTTTTTTTTATTCCAGTATTAGTTCTGCCTTTTGCTTTATAACTAAGCCTTGTCTTAAAGCAAACCAGTGAACAGCTGCTCAAATAATGCCTACATGTTTGTCTCCACTGGAAATCTTCGCAGTATAAACGCACATGGTGATACTAATTATACTCACGCGTTGAAGGAGAACTCTACTGCTTTTCAACCTAATCTCTATCTGTTGTGTCTATAGCAAACCACACTTATACTAGAAGCCAAGGTTCTTCAGTACCTGGCTGTTCGCTTCTGAAGTTCTTACAGTGAACAGGTTTTCAAACTGCAGTTGGGTTGTTTTGATTAAATAAAAATAACTCAGCAAAATACAGGTAACTTACAAAATTGAACTTTATTGGGTTTTTTTATTATTTAAATGCAGTTTTTTTGGCTTAAGCAGTTAACTTCAATGGTCATTTCCTGTTTTAGAGTTAAACAAAGCCATTTAATGGACACAAACAAGTGCAATATTTAACATTCTTTAAGATAAAACAAGCAGGTAAAGTGCTGAAAATTGCAACAAAAGCAGCCCATTAATGGTCAGTATTAAGCACCTATAAGATCAGACCTTGGAAAAGCCTAAGGCTGAGTCTCAAATGGCTCACTGCTCCCTATATAGTGCACTACGTGAGTGAAAATTTAGCTTTAACACTCAAATATTGCACTTTATGTCCAGTATGAATTGTGCACACATGGCTGAATCCAGAGTGGTTCTCTGTTGGGAACACTTTGCGCTGTTTAGACGCAGTAGCCACTATTTTAAGGCCTACGTAGTGCACTTTGTAGGGAGATGGCAGCCATTTAAGATTTATCAGGTTCAGCTTGAGGACAGCGCTGGTGCTTGACCGTTTCTGCTGTAAAATGTAAACCAGTGCTTTGATGATGGACAATAGTGGATTTTAAGACAAAATGTATTGAGGGCTCAGGATGCATTGCGTGTTAGGGGTAACTCACGACCGACAGCCCGTTTATTGAAGAGTGGCGTTTATCGTTTTTTGCAGTGTGAGGCTTCTGGACAGCTACACATCCTTTCAGACCCACAGCGCTGAGTCATCTTCTCACAGTGGAAGGATGGACAGAAACACCTGTGGATGTTTTCAGATCTGAAGCAGCTTGATTTTCTCCTCTCTCTCAAAGTACTGTTTGTCTGATGGGGACAGTTTTAGTGGTCTATCAGGTCTTTGGTGGTCTTCAAGTTTTGGAAACACCTTTTTTTCACTTTTTACTTCTTTTTTTAAACCTTTTTTTTCCACCTTTTTTCAATTTTTACTACTTTTACATTTTACTTCAACTTATGCTTTCCTTGTGCAAGTAGATTATGCTTATTATCTAGATTAATCTACTTAGAATTATCTTCTGAAAAATGAACAATGTGTACTTAATGGATATTTTTACTCAAAATTTAACAAATGAAGGATGGTCTCTGACTTTTGCACAGTACTAGAAGTAAATTTCAGAATTAGGATGATCGGCTCTATGCATTCCTTGAGAGACCTTAATGTTGCATAGTTTGTAATTCGACAGAATGTCGAATGTCACAGCCGTCTGTGTTAAAGCTGAACGTGGTGGCGTGCTGTGGAAGGCTTTTCAATCTGATTTTCTCATTCATTGATTGCATTGTAGCTAAACTCCAGACTAGGCCACAATCCTATTTCCTGGGGTAATCCCATCAGAGGCTGTGCGTCTTAAACCAGTACCCCTGAAGTACTGTTGCCTTCAGTGACTGA